TGATTCTTGATGATAAAGATAAAATATGATTTTGATAATTTGGATGGTATTAGAGCCCTAGGTTGGGTTGGGAATTTGTATTATATTGTTCTTGATTTATACTTGGGCGGGAATTCGCATGTTCGGGCGTTATTTATGTTCAGAAGTCATGTTAGGATATGTTCGATATGATTCTTGCTTTTGATCCATTAACTGCCTATGTGGTGTCGTTATTTACGTTTAAAAGTGTCTAAGCATGGTTTCGGGTTCCACAAAGGATCCCGGGACGCGTAATTGATGAAAGAGTCAGTGGGGGGTAGGGGTACCCGCCACCTACCCGCTGCCCGAGAATCACCGCCAGGCAGCATGCAGCCGGCGGGCAGACGCCTGATCGCCGGCAACCCGCTGCCCGGAAGACCATCGTCGGCAGGCAGCCGGCGAGTGACGCCCACCCACCGGCTACCTGCTGGTCTGTTATCCACCCCGGGTCCTCGGCTTCCACGTTTGATGTTCCCCATTCCCCGTGGTGTCCCAACGGACCCCGTTTGTTGTCCTTGAGTCTAGTTTGATATTTCGGGTGCCATTCGTAGGTTAGAAGAGTTTTAAGAACTGCATGCTAGTTGAATCGGTAACCCGTCGACCTAGGTGGAAGTTTTATGAACCCCTTAAGACTATTCTTAGTATGTGAATGATCACGCGTAAGCTTATTTATATGTCTCCCCCTTCCCAATATGCTATTATGTGCTGCAATGTGTTATGTGATGCAAGATTCCCCAATTTGGTTGCGATCAAATTGGCTATACGGGCAGTTGGATGGGTTGAGAACCATACCAACTGTTAACCAGGCCGGTTGCGATCGGTCAGGTATATAAATATTATATAGGGCTGCGGTCCACTGTTTGGTTGTACATGAGTTGCGGTTCATTTTCCTGGCTGCGGTCAGTGATTCACTTCTTGGGCTACAGCCCACGGGCCTCGTATGCGGGTGGTCCACCGACTGGACGCGCCAGCGGGGTGTAGGGCCACCAGCCTGAGGAAGACCATAACCCACCGAATGAGTGACCAGGCGGTGTGTAGGGCTATGGTTGGCTACGATCCACCGAGTGAAGGGCCAGCGTGTGTAGGATCGTAGTCTTCGAGGATCTTCGCCCACCGACTGAGTCCCTCAGCGGTGTGTAGGGCTTAATTCGCTACGATCCACTGACTGTGCTCATCAACGGTGTGTAGGGTCGTAGTCCCCATAAGAGGATCGCAGTCCACCGACTGAGCGCGTCAGCGGTTTGTAGGGCTATGATCCGCCGTCGAGCTTTCAGCGGTCTGTACGGTTGGTTGCAATCAACCCCCTCATGCTGCGGGGCCATGTTAGCGTTATACGCACTAACCCGCATATTCGGGGCATGTGATTGGTCCCGTGGCGCCACCAAAGTGTGCTTATGTGATTTGAATGATGATTCGAACGACGAACGAATGATGATTGAATGATGATGTGGATGACGTGAAAGTAAACTGTGACCTTTAGTATATGTTCATTATAATGTGGTCTCTATATAACTGCTTATCATGATTGAATGTGCTTACCCCTACTTGCTGAGTCTATCCCTGATTTTAAAGCTAGAGTCCCCTAAGTATATCTCTTACTGCTTTAAAATGGTTTTCGTATATCTATATATACATATCTACTTATATTATATTTCAACGCGTTGGAGTGGGTTACCAGCATCATTCTCTTAACAGATATATTTGGCTTTCAGGCACAGATGAGTAGACACCGGAGCGCGCTAGAGATCCGGGGCGTAGATTAGTTAGTTTCCCTTTCGCCCTGCGTGCCATGATTATGTATTGACATTGCTTTGAGGATATTTAGTTAGTTAGCCTGTGCATCTGAGTTCTCCAGCTCATTTGTGGCGTAGCACCCCGTACTATTATGTTTGATTTTGGGATTTAATGATAATTCACCTTTATTATATAAGTTTTAAAAGTCTCAAAATTTCGTGGTGTTACAAAATTAGAATCTGATTAGTAATGGGCCCTCCTTCCTTATTCTAACAGGCTTAAAGGCTTTAATATAAACAAGAGTCCACGGTCCACCATGGACCATATCAATAAATTAGGGGATTTTGGGCCCGATTAAATCCTTTAATTCACTCTTAACAGACATCATTAAAATAATGATGTGGCGGCTTAAGAATTAATTAAATGATTAATTCGGGTTAGAAGGGTAAAATTACAGGGTGTTGCACGTGTCTCTGGGCAGTCCGGCGGGCAATCTGGCTTGTCTTGGGGCGGTGGTGACGGCCGTCGCGGCAATGGTGGCCGTGGACATGGCGGTAGGAATGGCAATCATCGGACTAAGTGCCAACTTTGTGGGATCCTATGGCACATTGCGGTTACTAGTTACAAACGGTATGAAAAGGATCCTCAGGCTAATATGGTTTATCACGGTGCTCATTCAGATTCCTCACATGACTCTCATACTTGGTTCCTAGACACGAGTGCAACAAACCATGCTAACCCAGATATAGCTGTTCTCTCTATCTCGGATGAGTATAATGGTAATGACACACTCCATGTTGATGATGGTAGAGGTTTGCCTATTAGTCATATTGGCATTGCTTCTTTTAATACCCCCTCTATGTCATTTCATTTGTCTAATATACTTAATGTTCCCACATTATCTACTTTTTTATTATCCGTTCAGAAATTTGCATCTGATAATAAAATATTATTTGAGTTTAACCCATCCTTTTTTGATGTGAATGATACTAACACCAAGGAGATTTTTTCTTCGGGGCAATAGTTTTGGTGGGTTATACATGCTACTAGTTCCAAGTTCATAACCTTTTGCATTTCTTTTGGCTCATGCGTCTCCGTCTGTCTGGCATGGTCGTTTGGGCCCTCCACACCATCGTATCCTTAGTCGTGTTCTTCCTTTTTGTTCGGTTAGTGGGCCTAGTAGTACTATTCTTTGTAATTAAAGTTTCTGTAATGCGTGTCAATTGGGTAAATCTACTCGTTTTCTATTGCCACGTGTTGGAACTTCTAGTTCAAATATTATTGATTTAATCTATACTGATATTTAGGGTATAGCTCCTATCTTGTCTGCTGATGGTTATAGATATTTTGTTCTCTTTGTCGATGATTTCTCTCGTTTTACTTGGTATTTTCGCATGAAACAAAAATCTGATCTTTATGATATTTTTGAGAAATTTCGTGCTCTTGTTGAACGACTTTTCAATCGTGAGATCAAATCTATCCAATCAGATTTAGGTGCCGAGAACAAAAAGTTACATTCCTCTCTCACAAAATTAGGGATATATCATAGACAGTCCTGTGCTTATACTCACGAAAAAAATGGTCGTGTGGAGTGAAAACATAGACATATTGTCGAAACTGATCTTACTCTCATGGCTCGTGCTTATGTTCCATCTAGTTTTTGGGATTTTGCATTTGAAACTGCGGTTTATTTAATTAACAGAATGCCATCTGCTGTATTAAATAATTCTAGGTCTCATTCATTATTGCATAAATCTCCTCCATCCTACTCTTTTCTTCGTGTCTTTGGTTGTTTGTGTTATCCTCACCTACGACCCTATAATCGTCACAAAATGTGTTACAGATCCTCTGTGTGTGTCTTTCTTGGTTATCCTGAGGCTTTTAGGGAGTATAGAGGCATGTAATTATAGACTATTAAGGTGTTCGTATGCATGCATGTTAGATTTGATGAGGTAGTTTTTCCTTTTGCTACAAAAATTTCTATGCAAAAAATTTCAGATTCACAATCTAAACCGTGGGTTGCGATATTCTTCACCCCGTGGTGACCAACTCTGCTACCCGCGTTCAGTCCGAACCAGCACAGCCGAATACACCGGTTCGGACCAAACCAGCACAGCTGGCAGCACCATAACAGACCGACACCGAGACAGCACATCAGGCTGTCTCAATGGCAGCCACTCGTCCACAAGGGCGCCCATGGGGCCGGTCTACTCGGCTGAATGTCTGCACACATGATATGGAGACACGAAGCCAGTCTCGCGCACCACCTACAATTTTGACAGCTCAGGTTTGCACCACTGATCCTACTTGTTACACGCAGGTTGTCAAATACTTGGAATAGCGCTAGGCCATGGATAAGGAATTTAATGCTTTACTACAGAATCAAACTTGGTATTTGGTTCTGTCTTAATCTAACCAGAATGTGATTGGCTGTAAATGGGTCTTTCGAACCAAGAGAAAGGCGGATGGTTCAATTGAGAGATACAAAGCCAGGTTAGTAGCAAAGGGATTCAATCAAGTTCCTAATTAGGATTTTTTTTGACACATTCAGTCTGGTTGTTAACCCTACCACAATCAGGTTACTTCTTTCTTTGGCTATATCTTCTGGTTGGACTGTGAGACAGCTAGATGTTCATAATGCTTTTCTCAATGGTAATTTGACTGAAACTGTTTACATGCGACAACCACTTAGATAAATTGATGTTCAATTTCCTAATCATGTATGTTTGTTGAAGAGATCCTTGAATGGGTTGAAACAAGCTCCAAGAGCTTGGTTTAACCACCTCCATGCGTTTTTATTGTCTGTTAGATTCCAGGCATAAAAAACAGATGTGTCACTATTTTATTACTCACAAAATTCTACTTATGTTTATCTTCTAGTTTATGTTGATGACATTCTAGTGATGAGTAGTGATCTGAATCTTGTGAGTGATTTACTGTCAAAATTATATACTACTTTCAAGATTAGGGATCTTAATGAACCAGGTTTCTTTCTTGGTATTGAAATCATTAAATGCAGTGATGGGATCCTTCTATCTTAGCAATGGTATATGCTTGATATTTTGAAAGGTGTTGGTATGATTGATTGCAAACCTCTGTCCATCCCAATATCCGTTTCGAAATCTCTTTCTAACTCTACAGATTTATATGATGATCCAACGCAATATCGGAGCCAGGCTGGAGCTCTTTAGTATCTTACTATCACCAGACCAAATTTATCCTTTGTAGTTAATCAACTTTGTCAACATATGCATGCTCCTACGGTCACCCTTTGGGAAAAAGTCAAGCGTGTGTTGAGGTATGTCAAAGGGACTCTATCTTATGGTTTACGTATCCAAAAATCTGAGTCTAGAGAATTGAATGCCTTCTCTAACTCAGACTGGGCTGGTTGTCCTAAGGATCGTAAGTCAACCAGTGGTTATGCTGTTTTTCTTGGATCAAATCTTGTGTCTTGGGTGTGCAAGAAGCAAAGAACTATGGCCAGATCTTCTATGGAGGCTGAATACAAGGGTCTAGCTGATGTTTGTGCTGAGGTAATCTGGGTTCTCTCCCTCTTACGTGAGATTGGCGTGACTAGGATCTCTATTCCTAAGCTGTGATGTGATAATCTTGGTGCTACCTATCTATGTGTTAATCCCATTTTTCATGCTCACACTAAGCATGTTGAGATTGACTATCATTTTGTGAGAGACAGAGTTGCCAAGGGAGAGATTCAAGTCAAATTTATCTCCACCAAAGATCAATTTGCTGATATATTTACAAAAGCTTTAGCAGGTCCTACGCTTTCTTTCTTAGAGACAAGCTACAAGTCACATCTGTAGCCTGTACTTGAGGGGGAGTATTAGGACTCTATGTATTTGAGTATGTTTATGATTCACAATCCTAGTCTCCCTCTATCTCCTCTTGTATATATACCTAGAATATATACTCTTGTAATTATTACTATTAATACATTCAATAACAGTTCTCACCGTCTATACCAAATGTCACCACGGGTTTAAACAAAAATTGCAGAAAACAAAAAGGGTAGGGAAGATTTGAGAAAAACGAAGTCGAGGATTTAGAGAGATTTGAGATAAGGGAAATAGGGTTTTCATTAGTATATTCAATCGATAGATAATCCATAAAGAGTGCATACACCCAAAACAAATACTAGAATTTGAAAGAAAAAAACAAGGGAGAATAACAATATTTATATTGAAAAAGTAATATTAATAAAAAATAATGTTTTTGTTAAAATGTAATGCTTTTACATTTTAATATAAAAGTACTATACTTTTTCTTATTTCCCGTGTAGAATTCATTTGCATGTGAGCCGAGGATTGAATTAACTCTTCTAACTTTTTAGTCTTTACTTTGCAATTTAAGGGGACGTTTACTGGGTTAAACAGACATAAGACACTTTGCATTCCCAGTCATATATCTAGAACAACCACTGTCGAAGTACCATCTTGCTTCAGTCATGGCGGCTGTCAGCACTATTGTAGGGTAGTAGATTACCTCTGATTTTCTGACTCAGACTTATCCTATGAAGGGAGTGATAGATTTATTCCGATATTTTTCCTACATTTGATCTCTGTATAAGAAGTAACATTCAGGTCTGGTATTCCCTCTTGTCTGACAGTAGTGACAAGTTGGTACATACTGTTTGACTTTTAAATACTTAGTCTTGATTTTTGAATGTAGAGATTGAAATTTAGTACTGATAGGTTGAACCTTAGTAGGAGTAGACGAGCTTCCTTTCTAAAAAACACGAGCTGATATAAATGATTGGCCCTTCTCATAACTAAGTCTTGGACTACCAACAGATATACTTCCTTTGTCGAATACAGGAGCAGACATTGAGAATTGTCCCCTTTCAAATATGAGTCCTGTTTTATTGTTAGGATTGCGACCATAATCCAGGATTTTGTCAAAGGCTAAAGTGGTGTCCATCATCTTGATATTTTTCTTCAAATCCTCCAGTTCCTTTATCAGCTTTCCCTCTCAAGATCTGATCTGAGCAATAAGGTCATTTTTCATCACTAGATCAGTGTTTAGTTTCTTCAGTAGCACATCTCGATGTTTCAGTTCTTCATTCAGATTCTTGTTAATTTTTACCAGTTGTTCCCTGCTACCAACCAGTTTAGCAAATTTTATCTCTAGCTGAACATGTCGTTCTTCAAAATCATCCGATGATATGTAGGACTCATCATCAGTTTCATCTTTTTCTGACTAAATCTTTGTTGCTGTGAAGAAAGCAACAAAGTTTGCAACATTTTCATCAGACGGGTTATCTGTTGTTTCCTCTTCATCATCACTTAGGGTAGACACAGACATAGATTTCTTTCTTTTGAGGTAAGTTGCACATCAGCCTGTATATGACCAAACCATTCACACTCTCGGCATTGAAGTGGCCGATTTAGGGTTTTAGCTGTGTCTGTGGATGTAGTTCTGAAGTGCCCGACTCATCCAGTCTAGGACTGATCGACCTTTGTGAAAGAGGACGATCCTGATTTCTGATATGAGGGGTTTACACCTTTGGATTGAGTCCTGTTAGGCTGTCCTTGATTCCTTCGATTAAATCCTTTAAGGATTTTCTTGAAATTTTTTGTCAATAAAGCTAAAGCTTCATCATCTATATCATTTGTGTCAGATTCTCGATCAGCCTGAGCCACAAAAGCCACTGACTTGCCTTTTCTGTTGGATACAGAGTCGTCATCAGCCAACACCTAAAGTTCATAGGTATGCAGATTCCCCATAAGCTCACCTACACTCTTCTTTTCCCAGCCAGTGTTTTTCTGAATTGCAGTTACTTTCATCCTGAATCTTTTGGGTAGAGAAGGGAGGATCTTCTTGACAACCCTTTCCTCAGTAAACGGTTCCCCAAGAACTGATGCTCTGTTCATCAGATCCTGAACACGACTGTGGAAGTTAGATATAGTTTCTTCTTCACTCATTATGAGCGCTCCAAATTCTGACAGGACCATTCGGAGCTTTGTCTATTTGACATCACTGGTGCCCTCATATCTGGTTTCAAGAATTCCCCAAAATAGAAAATAGAAAATTGAAAATAGTCTAGGTGTTTACTATGCTAAGTGTAAGTGTAACACCCCCAAAATCTAAATACAACTATTCACAACAATAAGGGAAATTTCTCAAAATGTGGAAGCTAAAACTAAACTATACAGGGGTGCTATGCCACACTTAGGTTGTTTTAAACCCAAATGGACATGCTAATACTAACTTCATAACTCAATAAGGTCATTACATCACTTTAGGGACATTTTTACTAAAATATTTAAATATCGAGACAATAATAATATTAGGAAAATACGGGGTGTCAAAACATTATCCCGCTTAAAAGGAGCTTCGTCCCCGAAGCTAAAAATTATTTTGGGGATAAAGAGTCAAAATTGGTACGGTAGTAGATAGAGGAAAATATCTATGGGAATTATATACTCAGTTTTGAAAAAGATTCATTTCAAATAGGGAAAGATAATGGAGGGTTTAGGTTTTGAACTCAATGACAACGTTAATTAGGAAAGGAATCAAGTTTATCAAGGCTACAACTTAGGAAATAAAGTTGTCACCTTGCATAGAATCATTTGAAGTGAGGAAACAAGAACGAGGTTTGAAAAGATAGAAGGGATTTCCTAACGAAAGGGTATTGGATTTGTAAAGGAAAAGAGAGGGATTTGGTTTCGGAAGGGTAAAGATTCTCAACTTTGAATGGTTTCTTCGCCTTGACGATTCGATTACCACATTTTGACGAACTAATGGTCCCACTTTCCTCGATTCTGATGCGTCCTAACTCTAAAATCCTTAGCAGACTCCTTCACAAGTTGATATCTCATGTAAGACGAGAACTTTATCAAAGTTAACATCTTGAGTCGGTCCATGATACTTTGCTCAATGATCCCATTATATCCTTACTAATTGCTCAGTAGGTCAAATCTTGTTCACGGTTAATAACCTTGCAGTCTTTATAAGTCAATCAATTATAATCAAACCTTGTCCTTTCTTTTCTTAGTCAACGATAGGTCTCTTACCAGAATCCATTGGTATAGAATCTTACTTTCATTTACGAACACCCGATGATTGAATCCGTCCTTTAGGTTCTCACCTGTCAGTCATAATCTTTTGACATCTCGATTAGTCGATTCTGAACTTAACTACTTCTTCTTTCCTTTTATTGCTAAAGTCTTTCCTTTAAGTCGTTATGCTAATCATCACCTCTTGAGGGTATTGAAAATGCGATGTCCTTCTTCCACTTCATGATCTTTTCACGCTTCATGAACGCACACGACCTACTTATGACGTTTCTTTCCATCTTCATGCATCTCAAGAGGTCTAGGCTTTTCCTTTCTACTCATCTTAGTCCCCATTACTTCCAAGATCACCGTGTAGTCAGCGTCGTTCCATTGCGGGACTCGTGTACCAACGGGCTTTTTTCAGCATTTTGAGATTTTCCAAGAAGCGGTGGTGGTGCGGTTTTGGCGTTTTCGGCGAAGGTTTTCCGGTGAGGGTTCCGTCGATGAGGGCGGCGACGGGGCTCGTTCCAGTGGCGACCCGGGGTCGGCGTTGAGGGACTTGGCTGTCCTTGGGCGAGGTTGGAGGCGGTGTCGAGGTGCGGCAGCGGGGGCTGGCCGGGCGGTTGACTGGGAGGCGAGCGCTGGCTTTGTCGTGGGCGGTTCGCAGTTCGGCGACGGTAGGAGTGGAGCGGCGGTGCTGGCCGGGTGATCGACGGGCGGTCGACAGCGGCGTGTTAGCAGGCGGCTGGTGGTGTGTGGCTGGGGAGCACTCGGGCGGCTAGCCGGCGTCGTGGGTGAGGGAGAAGGTGAGAGAGGGAAGGAGAGTGGGAGGAAGATGGAGGAGAAGTGTTTTTGATTTGGGGATTTTGTGGGTTTTAGGGATTTGGAGGGATTTAAGAAGGAAGTGTTCGCTTGAAGTTTCAAGAAACACTCATAGCCTGTTGGTTAAGGCTTTGTCTTGTAAGTGAGAGGGTTAAGGTTCAATTCCCATTGGTTACATTACCCTATTTTGTGCATTCCTCCCTTGTCTTGGGTTTCCTACCCGTCTTTGTTCCTGATGTGGCAATTGGCTTGACTGGATCCCCTTGTCAGATTTTTTTTTTTGTCTTCACTGTGTGTTGGGTTTGAGACTCGTGGATTATAAGGGGTGTGGGTCTTAGTGCTTCACTTTAAGCTGATTTAATTGACTTTGTCTTTTATTTACGGTCATAAAAATTCCTAAACAACTAAGCTAAACAAGTGATTCTACTAAGAGGGTGGTTTACAGGGGTCCATAGATTATCATAAGCAGAATTCTTCTTCCTGGTTTTCCTCTGATTGATTTGTGGGATCCTAATCCCCTAGGGCCTCGTCTTCCGTGTCGTTGTTGGCTTCGGCTTAAAGATCGTCCTGGGTGCGGCTAATGACGAATACTTTCCCGGGGGCACTGTAGCTCCCTTTGTAACACCCCGTGTTACGGCCTTCAATCCCGAATTAATTATTTAATTAATTCCGTTAATAATAATTTAAAAGGATTTAATTTGATTAGGATTCCCTTTAATTAATTAATATGGTCCACCATGGATTGTGGAACCTTGCCTAAAACTAGAGTTTTAAGCCCATTAGAAATAAAGAGGGTAAACCTTTTACTAGTCAGACTCTAATTAGGAATCCTAGACCTATATATCTCTTAGGAAAAAAGAAAGTAGGCCTTTATTATTCAGATTATGATTGGGATTCCTGAGTGTATAAATAGGGGATTAGAAAGCAATTAGAAACCTTACCACCCATAGTTATATTACACGAAAATATTCCCAGGAGATTCCCCGCCAGCGAGCCTAAGGAGATCAATCGGATGGAAATTTTAGGGAAGAACCTTAATAGCCAAGGGAGGATTAATTAAGGCTAAGAGGTAACCTATGTCTCAACAAAACCTATTCTCTGTGCTATAATCCCCTTCTTTGGCTTCTTCTCTGTGCTTGCGTCTTGATATGATAATTGTGATGTGATCTTGATGATTGATGAGATGATTCTGTGTGCGATCTTGAAAATCTTGATGATGATAAAAAGGATCTTGATGATTGTGTGATATTCTTGATAAGTCTTGATGTTTCTTGATTTTAAAGATAAACTATGATCTTGATAATTTAAATATGATTAGAGCCCTAGGTTGAATCATGAATTTCGTATTGGGGTTTTCTTGGTATATTTGGGTGGAAATTCACATGTTAGGGTGTTGATTATGTTTAGAAGTCATGATAGGTTGTGTTCTACGTGATTGTTTCTTTTGATCTATTAATTGCTTACGTGGTGTCGTTATTTGCGTTTAAAAGTGTCTAAGCATGGTTTCGGGTTCCACAAAGGACCCCGAGACGTTTATTTTGATAAAGAGTCAGTGGGGGGTAAGGGGACCCGCCACCTACCCGCTGCCCAAAGAGACACCGCCAGGCAGCGGGCAGCCGGCGGCCAGGCGACTGCCCGTCGGGCACCCGTTGCCCGGAACCCTGTCGCCGGCGGGTGGTCCTCCACCCACCGGCTACCCGCTGGTCGTCGCCTACTACGGGACTTCGGCTTCCCCGTTTGATGTCCCCCATCCCCCGTGGTGTCCCAACGGACTCCGTTTGTCGTGCATGAGTCTAGTTTATGTTTCAGGTACCGTTTGTAGGGTAAAAGAGTCTTACGTATTGCATGCTAGTTGAATCTGTAACCCGTTGGCCAAGGAGGAAGATGCAAGAATCCCTTAGGACTAGTCTTAGTATGTGAATGATCACATGTAAGTTTATTTATACGTTTTCCCCCTTCCCAACGTGCTAATATATGCTACTATTTGTTATGTGATGCATGAGACCCCAATTTGGTTGCGATCAAATTGGTTATTCCTGAGCTGCGGTTCAGAAGTTGGCTGCGGTCAAATTGATAACTTATGAGCTACGGTTCATTCTCCTGGCTGCGGTTAGTGATTCACTTCTTGGGTGTGTAGGGCTTTGATCTGCGGTCCCTCAGGCGGTGTGTAGGGCTTTGATCTTCTACTACCCACCGACTGAGTTCGTCAAGCGGTGTGTAGGGTCGCAGTCCCCAAAAGAGGATCACAGTCCACCGACTGAGCGCATCAGCGGTGTGTAGGGCAGTGATCCGCCGTTGAAATCATCGATGGTCTATACGGTTGGTTGCGATTAACCCCTTCATGCTGCGATAAGAGGTAGGGTGCTGCGGGGCCGTGTTAGTACTATATGTACTAACCCTCACGTTCGGGGCATGCGATTGGTCCCGTGGCGCCACCAAAGTGTGCTTATGTGATAAGATACGAATCGAATGATGATATGAATGATGTGAAGTGAATCTGTGACCCTAGGATATATGCTAGCGTCTTTATATGCTTGATTATAACTGTTGAATATGCTTATCTCTATTTGTCGAGTCTATTCCTGATTTTAAAGCTAGAGTCTCCTAAGTATATATCTTCCTGCT